GGGTTTATATAATAGAAATTGGGAAGTATATTAGGAATTAGTATTAGGAATAATTGTTAAAGCATAATAATTTGTCATATGGTAAATGTTTATAGGGATTTATTGGTTTAGAAATTAAATCAATTAAATTGTTGTGTTTTTTGTCTTCTAGTGAGGTAAATACAGATGGTATCTTAATGCATAATAAGGGATAATTTGGCATAGAATGGTGTGAACCTATAAATAAGTAAAAGTAACAAACTATGAACCGGCTGAAGATGAATATCAGAGGCGTTGAAGACGTTTTTGTAAAATACCACTTTTACATGCAACTGGTCTATAACAACAAATCGAAGATATCAAAGGATTTTCTCATGTTTTTATATCGAAGGAGTGGGAAAGGAGTCCACCATTGAGTGAGAATGGAGAAAGATCTGTTCAAATGCAACATTTCTCATGTTGCTGGTATAATGGTTGACAAATGGACATTGAAGTTGTGGAGTTGGTGGTAAATCGAATTAGACATTGTAATTGTGACATTGTAATGGGCAAGTCATTTTGAAATATGAAGCTGTTTGAAGAACAACATGAAGAGACGCCAGAAGATTTAAGTGCCGGGTGGAATAAAGGGGTTGCTTGTTGATAATAAAATTTGAATTATCTAAATTTGATAATTTGGGTATATACACTGCTAAATTGATAGTATTAGGAATACATTGAGATAATGATCTGTATTTATTTTCTGGAGGAGGAGAGTCATAATTGAAGTATGAATGTTTATAATGTATGATAATATAAGTATACATTCTGGAAGTTTTAATATGGAAGTTAAGGTGAGGATTGTGAATGAAATCATGAAGATGTTGATTAATTGGGTTAAAGTATTAACATATTAGTAATGATATACATTTGAAGTATTGGGTGATATTGATATGGATGTTTAGAGTGGTAAATATCTAGGTTGATTAGCAAGTACTTAATTGGGTACCATCATGGGGTTATGATATTTTCATATGATATGAATTTGATTGAATTATTAAAGCAGGAATAGTTGAGAGATGTAATGATTTAACAGGGAGTGATAATAGAGTGTTATAATGTGTATGTCATATTAGGAGAACAAAGTCGGAGTTGAATATTGTTTATTTTAACAATCATGGGTTTTTAAGAATTGGGTCTGAGATGTTAATTATTAGAATGGGTAATTGATAATCACATGGCATTGGATGATATTATATTAAGATTAGGATGATATGGTAATTTGAATGCTGTTGAAGTTTTTTTTCAAATGTTTTTTTAGTGGTAATTCCATAGGAACATGGATGGCAAGCATTCTAGGTCCTCTAGTGGTCATAGTAATTATTGTAGCCATAGTTATGGGGTGTTGTTTTAAACTTTTTAGAGGATTGATTTTAAGATATGTACAAATGATCTTTAACATGCCAGTTATTACAGTTAGAGATGTATCAGTTGATGTTAATGCAAGGAGGGAGAGGAATGATTCTTCTTCTATGTAGTTTTATTCCAGTTCAGATTCCATTGATAATGTTGATTGAGGACAAGGAATGTTAAATTGGAATTGTATGCCATAGAATTGAGGGTTACAGGAAGAAGACGAATATCAGTGGATCAGATAGCGCCCCAAGTGACCAGGAAAAGCTTGGGGTTCCTCTGACTGCGCGAGGAGGAAGAAGACGGATGTTTTTGTTATTTTTATAGTCATGTGTATAGATTATAATATTCATGTGACTTAGTAATGAGTATGTATAATTGTTGTGTATTGTTTATGTTTATATGGTAACAATTTATTTCTATGTATGTTTTTTTTTGATTGCGTGTATCAGAAAAATAGGTTATTTTAAAAGGGGGGATAATAATCTATGTGGGATTTTTCCTTATATATATAAAAAAATTGGGTTTTGACTACATTGATTATTAGCATGAATATATTACCTACTGGTAATTATGTGTTTATCTTTTACTCAGACTGAGTTTATAGAGGTTTGAGATCGCATAAGATAGATGACTGAGAATTTATACCTTTGTTGATTAAATATATGGAGAATCAAGTTGGATTCAGGTATGAAAGGTGGAAGGAATCAATTCTCAATTAGCATAGTTTAGGATCTAGTCAGAGATGTGTGTACTACTGATGGGAGAATATTGTATTTTATATTAAGTTATATGTGAATTGTTGGGGTTAAGTCATGTCACTAACCACAACAACAACACTGTCACACTGTAGCTCAATTGGTAGAGCACGGCGCTTGTAACGCCAGGGTAGTGGGTTCGATCCCCGGGACCACCCATGCAAAAATGTATGCACACATGACTGTAAGTCGCTTTGGATAAAAGCGTCTGCTAAATGGCATATTATTTTTATTATTATTAAAAAAAAGAGTGGATTGATATGATGTTTTTATGGTATAATGATGTCATGTCATAGTGTTGTGAGGACAGAGGAAAGAGTTAAGAGATGAGTGGTTTGGGGCCATGAAGTCTACATTCCATTATGTCAAGGTAGATTAGTGATGTTTAGGATAGCATGAGTGATGTTTAGGATACTGACTTGGGGTAAAAAGTGATGAACATCAAAGACAGGGAGTGCCCATGGAGACTTGCCAGATGTACAGTGGGGGAAAAAGTATTTAGTCAGCCACCAATTGTGCAAGTTCTCCCACTTAAAAAGATGAGAGGCCTGTAATTTTCATCATAGGTACACGTCAACTATGACAGACAAAATGAGGGAAAAAAATCCAGAAAATCACATTGTAGGATTTTTTAATGAATTTATTTGCAAATTATGGTGGAAAATAAGTATTTGGTCAATAACAAAAGTTTCTCAATACTTTGTTATATACCCTTTGTTGGCAATGACACAGGTCAAACGTTTTCTGTAAGTCTTCACAAGATTTTCACACACTGTTGCTGGTATTTTGGCCCATTCCTCCATGCAGATCTCCTCTAGAGCAGTGACGTTTTGGGGCTGTCGCTGGGCAACACGGACTTTCAACTCCCTCCAAAGATTTTCTATGGGGTTGAGATCTGGAGACTGGCTAGGCCACTCCAGGACCTTGAAATGCTTCTTACAAAGCCACTCCTTCGTTGCCCGGGCGGTGTGTTTGGGATCATTGTCATGCTGAAAGACCCAGCCACGTTTCATCTTCAATGCCCTTGCTGATGGAAGGAGGTTTTCACTCAAAATCTCACGATACATGGCCCCATTCATTTTTTCCTTTACACGGATCAGTCGTCCTGGTCCCTTTGCAGAAAAACAGCCCCAAAGCATGATGTTTCCACCCCCAAAGCATGATGTTTCCACCCCCATGCTTCACAGTCGGTATGGTGTTCTTTGGATGCAACTCGGCATTCTTTGTCCTCCAAACACGACGAGTTTAGTTTTTACCAAAAAGTTATATTTTGGTTTCATCTGACCATATGACATTCTCCCAATCCTCTTCTGGATCATCCAAATGCACTCTAGCAAACTTCAGACGGGCCTTGACATGTACTGGCTTAAGCAGGGGGACACGTCTGGCACTGCAGGATTTGAGTCCCTGGCGGCGTAGTGTGTTACTGATGGTAGGCTTTGTTACTTTGGTCCCAGCTCTCTGCAGGTCATTCACTAGGTCCCCCCGTGTGGTTCTGGGATTTTTGCTCACCGTTCTTGTGATCATTTTGACCCCACGGGGTGAGATCTTGCGTGGAGCCCCAGATCGAGGGAGATTATCAGTGGTCTTGTATGTCTTCCATTTCCTAATAATTGCTCCCACAGTTGATTTCTTCAAACCAAGCTGCTTACCTATTGCAGATTCAGTCTTCCCAGCCTGGTGCAGGTCTACAATTTTGTTTCTGGTGTCCTTTGACAGCTCTTTGGTCTTGGCCATAGTGGAGTTTGGAGTGTGACTGTTTGAGGTTGTGGACAGGTGTCTTTTATACTGATAACAAGTTCAAACAGGTGCCATTAATACAGGTAACGAGTGGAGGACAGCGGAGCCTCTTAAAGAAGAAGTTATAGGTCTGTGAGAGCCAGAAATCTTGCTTGTTTGTAGGTGACCAAATACTTATTTTCCACCATCATTTGCAAATAAATTCATTAAAAATCCTACAATGTGATTTTCTGGATTTTTTTCCTCATTTTGTCTGTCATAGTTGACGTGTACCTATGATAAAAATTACAGGCCTCTCATCTTTTTAAGTGGGAGAACTTGCACAATTGGTGGCTGACTAAATACTTTTTTCCCCCACTGTATGTGAAAGGAAGGAGAACCAAAGGCTATATAAGATAGAGAGTCTTCTTTGTCTACTTAGTTCAGCTGACGAAGGGCAAAGCCATGTCCGTTTGTTAGATGAACCCACGAGCTCGTGATTCAATAAATACTTGGTATGAAATCTCCACAGAATATCTAAGTATATCCTTGCATCTTTGATTCTTTGATACCTGAGAAACTCATCATAACACATACAGAAGGGAAGCAAAGCAATCAGAAACATAGCTGAGACAGACTTTATAAGCTACAATAATGGAGGTCTCAGGGCTATGAGAAACCATTTCAACACAGACTAAAATGACACAGTGGAGTGACTGGAGGTAGGAACACTGTTTGTTCCCACTGCGACTGGTTCTCCTCCAGAAACACATTAGCTACAGAGTCGATATGATGAGGTTATAGAGTTTGCGCAAGATCTGGCATATTTCCTGCCATTCAATTGGTAATTTCAATTAATGATATACCCATTGATTCTTGAATATAAATGCCTCATTGGGATGAAACACAAAACTCAAGATTGTGGCTTCAAAGATAAAGATTTCCATTTAAACAATCAACAACAACTGAATGAGTGTTGAGTGCCAGAGAGAGCGCAAAGACTACTTGGGAGTACAGAGAACATTTTGCCCAGCTGAGTACTGTAGCTATGGTGCAATGTATTTGTTGTGTATGGTCCCTGACAAATAGTAAAACGAATTAAACTAAACCAATAAAATAAAGAGTGACAGTAAGCTAGCAGTAACAGACCTTGTCAGGCCTGCCCTCGGCGTCTTTGAGCAGGATGTATGGTTTCTTCCTGATACGGTTCAGGTCCTCGTGTAGACCGTCCAACAGGAAGGCCAGCAACTCATGAGAGTCCTGCTGCTGGTAGCCTGAGAACTGGGGGGCGAAGCGACCCACCTGGGTCTGGAGGGAGGGGAGAACAGACATACACAAAAAAGGTTCAGCAACAGATATATAGGAAATTCCAAATTGACACCTCACCCCTAGGGAACTTGAATGAGAGGAATCAAAATAGCACAGATTCCACCAACATGTAGCCTGTCAGTTAGCAAAGTAGTACTATTGCCATATTTCTTACATGTGTGATCCTTTCAGATCTACTCAAGAGCAGTCGTGTAGTCGAGGGTAAACGCACATAAACACCGTTTACGCACCATTTCTATTTTGCGCAAACGTTTACCCACCTATTGCGGAAAACCGCATTGAAAGTATAGGGAGCATTACTTTATTCACCACGAACGAAAATCAGTGTTTACCCACCCATTTTTTTCTACCACTACATCACTGCTCAAGAGTCTCGGTTGTTGTGGCTTGTGGGTCAATTTGGGATCGGGCACATCATAGCTGCATTTCAATCCGATTTCGATCAGACAAGGAATCAAGGCAGAAGTGAGGGAACAACTTTCAGCCCATGTGAATTTCAGCAGGTAGGTATGGGTACAGTACATGGTTGGGGTCAATTCCATTTCAATTCAGAATGTAAACCAAATTCCAATTACACATTTTCCCAATTGGAAAGCATTGAAGATAATTGGAATTTCAGTGTACCTTCTGAATGGCCTGGAATGGAAATGGACTTGACACCAACCCTGGTACCGTAAATTACCTTGAAAGGCCGTGGTGTGACGTAGCTGTACTTCCCAGACCATGACTGCTTGGTGATATCAGCGTAGGCCTTGGCGATCTCCCCTTTCATTCCCAGAGGGTTGTCCTCGTTCAACTCATCGTTGTACTTGTCTTTCAGGAAATACTCGGTGAGAGGAGGTACATTACTTAAACACTGCAGAAAAACAATGAGAAAGAAAAATATAAATATATAAAAATGATTAAAGTTGGGAAAATAAGTAAAATATGCAAGAGACAGGGAATGAGAAAATCCAAATAAAAAATCCAACAGTCAAAGGAATCACCTAAACCAACAGTATTATACAATGCCAAAGGTCAATCAATAACCGCAGCTGTTCCTGCCATGATACAATTAAAACGAATGCATACACACAATAGTTCAGAGTTAACAGTTGAGGGGTTAGAGTATGGTACCTGCAGTGCAGAGTTCATGAAGCAGGTGTTTCCCAGGTTGGAGAGACCACACAGGCCAGCCTGCTCACTCTGCCTGCCCTCGGAGCACTCATAGCTGTTATACGGGTGGTAGGACGGAAGGCTGTAGCTAGAGTTTTTCACACTGAAGAGGATACATAACATCAGTCAGGAATAAATAGAGAACATGGACTTAGCATATTGCATATGGCTGGATAAAATTACTGGATAATGTTCCCAAACTAATGCAGGCATAAAATACTTAAGAGTAGTGGTGTAATAATGTGCTGTATGCATGACACACTGTTTAATTTATTTTTGTTATGCAATTGCCTTAATCTTGTTTGGATCCCAGGAAGAGTAATGGGGATCCTTAATAAATACAAATACAAAGGCTAGTGCCCACACACAAACATTAAACATTTGGGTGAATTTACGATAGCATTGTCTATTGATGATTATTGACAGCCATCATCGATGGTGACATCGTGATGTGATTGTCGAAAATAAACACAATAACAAAAATAAAACGCAACAACTTTAAAGAATTTACTGAGTTACAGTTCATATAAGGACATCAGTCAATTGAAAGAAATGCATTATGCCCTAATCTATGGATTTCACATGACTGGGTAGGGGCACAGCCATGGGAAGGCCTTGGAGGGCATAGGACCACCAACTTGGCAGTCAGGCCCACCCACTGGGGAGCCAGGCCCAGCCAATCAGAATCCGTTTTTCCCCACAAAAAGGTACTTATTACAGACAGAAATACTCCTAAGCAACACCCCCACCCCTCAGATGATCCTGCAGGTGAAGAAGCCGGATGTGGAGGTCTGCTGATGTGAGGCCGGTTGGATGAGACGTGGCATTGTGTTGTGTGACAAAACTGCACATTTTAAAGTGGTATTTTATTGTCCCCAGCACAAGGTGCACCTGTGTAATGATCATGCTGTTTAATCAGCTTCTTGATATGCCACACCTGTCAGGTGGATGGATTATCTTGGCAAATGAGAAATGCTCATTAACAGGGATGTAAACAAATTTGTGCACAAAATTAGAGAGAAATAAGATTTTTGTGCATATGGAACATTTCTGGGACTTATTTTTTCAGCTCATGAAACATGGGACAAACACTTTACATGTTATGATACACACACATTACAAGACTAAAAGTATGTGGACACCTGCTCGTCGAACATCTCATTCATGCGTATTAATATGGAGTTGGTCCCCCCTTTGCTGCTATAACAGCCTCCACCCTTCTGGGAAGGCTTTTCACTAGATGTTGGAACATTACCGCAGGGACCAACAGAGCATTAGTGAGGTCGGGCACTGATGTTGGGCGATTAGGCCTGGCTCGAAGTACGCGTTCCGATTCATCCCATAGGTGATCGGTGGGGTTGAGGTCAGGGCTCTGTGCAGGCCAGTCAAGTTATTCCACCACAATCTCGACAAACCATTTCTGAATGGACCTCGCTTTGGGCACGGAGGCATTGTCATGCTGAAACAGGAAAGGGCCTTCCTTAAACTGTTGCCACAAAGTTGGAAGCACAGAATCATCTAGAATGTCATAGTATGCTGTAGCATTAAGATTTCCTTTAACTGGAACTAAAGGGCCTAACCCGAACCATGAAAAACAGCCCCAGACAATTATGCCTCCTCTACCAAACTTTACAGTTGGCACTATGCATTGGGGCAGGTATCATTCTCCTGGCATCCGCCAAACCCAGATTCGCCGTCGGACTGCCAGATGGTTTAACATAATTCATCACTCCAGAGAACGCGTTTCCACTGCTCCAGAGACCAATGATGGCGAGCTTTACACCACTCCAGCCGACGCTTGGCATTGTGCATGGTGATCTTGGGCTTGTGTGCGGCTGCTCGGCTATGGAAATCCATTTCATGAAGCTCCCGACGAACATTCTTGTGATGACGTTGCTTCCAGAGACAGTTCGGAACACGGTAGTGAGTGTTGCAACCGAGGACAGACGATATTTACGCGCAACAACACTCGGCGGTCCCGTTCTGTGAGCTTGTGTGGTCTCGGACACTGCGGCTGAGCCGTTGTTGCTCCTAGACATTTTCACTTCACAATAACAGCACTTACAGTTGACCGGGGCAGCTCTACCAGGACAGAGATTTGACGAACTGACTTGTTGGAAAGGTGGCATCCTATGACGGTGCCACGTTGAATGTCACTGAGCTCTTCAGTAAGGCCATTATACTGCCAATGTTTGTCTACGGAGTTTGCACGGCTGTGTGCTCGATTTTATACACCTGTCAGCAACGGGTATGGCTCAAATAGCGGAATCGACTAATTTGAAGGGGTGTCCACATACTTTTGTATATATAGTTTACATACATACAGTAGCAGTCAAAAGTTTGGACACACCTACTCATTCAAGGGTTTTTCTTTATTTGTACTATTTTCTACATTGTAGAATAATAGTGAAGACATCAAAACTATGAAATACATATGGAATCATGTAGTAACCAAAAAAGTTTTAAACCAATCAATATATTATATATATATTTGAGATTCTTCAAAGTAGCCACCATTTGCCTTGATGACAGCTTTGCACACTCTTGGCATTCTCTGAACCAGCTTCAGTTCCCACATATGCTGAGCACCTGTTGGCTGCTTTTCCTTCACTAGTTCAGAGAATGCCAAGTGTGCAAAGCTGTCATCAAGGCAAAGGGTGGCTATTTGAGGAATCTCAAATATAAAATATATTTTGATTGGTTTAACACTTTTTTGGTTACTACATGATTCCATATGTATTAATTCATAGTTTTGATGTCTTTTGACCCGGTAGTAAGTAAGTAAGTAAGTAAGTAAGTAAGTAAGTGTGTGTGTATATATACAGTGGGTGAAAAAAGTATTTAGTCAGCCACCAATTGTGCAAGTTCTCCCACTTAAAAAGATGAGGCGCCTGTAATTTTCATCATAGGTACACGTCAACTATGACAGACAAACTGAGAAAAAGAATCCAGAAAATCACATTGTAGGATTTTTAATGAATTTATTTGCAAATTATGGTGGAAAATAAGTATTTGGTCAATAACAAAAGTTTCTCAATACTTTGTTATATACCCTTTGTTGGCAATGACACAGGTCAAACGTTTTCTGTAAGTCTTCACAAGGTTTTCACACACTGTTGCTGGTATTTTGGCCCATTCCTCCATGCAGATCTCCTCTAGAGCAGTGATGTTTTGGGGCTGTCGCTGGGAAACACGGACTTTCAACTCCCTCCAAAGATTTTCTATGGGGTTGAGATCTGGAGACTGGCTAGACCACTCCAGGACCTTGAAATGCTTCTTACGAAGCCACTCCTTCGTTGCCCGGGCGGTGTGTTTGGGATCATTGTCATACTGAAAGACCCAGCCACGTTTCATCTTCAATGCCCTTGCTGATGGAAGGAGGTTTTCACTCAAAATCTCTCGATACATGGCCCCATTCATTCTTTCCTTTACACGGATCAGTCGTCCTGGTCCCTTTGCAGAAAAACAGCCCCAAATAATGATGTTTCCACCCCCATGCTTCACAGTAGGTATGGTGTTCTTTGGATGCAACTCAGCAGTCTTTGTCCTCCAAACACGACGAGTTGAGTTTTTACCAAAAAGTTATATTTTGGTTTCATCTGACCATATGACATTCTCCCAATCCTCTTCTGGATCATCCAAATGCACTCTAGCAAACTTCAGACGGGCCTGGACATGTACTGGCTTAAGCAGGGGGACATGTCTGGCACTGCAGGATTTGAGTCCCTGGCGGCGTAGTGTGTTACTGATGTTAGGCTTTGTTACTTTGGTCCCAGCTCTCTGCAGGTCATTCACTAGGTCCCCCCGTGTGGTTCTGGGATTTTTGCTCACCGTTCTTGTGATCATTTTGACCCCACGGGGTGAGATCTTGCGTGGAGCCCCAGATCGAGGGAGATTATCAGTGGTCTTGTATGTCTTCCATTTCCTAATAATTGCTCCCACAGTTGATTTCTTCAAACCAAGCTGCTTACCTATTGCAGATTCAGTCTTCCCAGCCTGGTGCAGGTCTACAATTTTGTTTCTGGTGTCCTTTGACAGCTCTTTGGTCTTGGCCATAGTAGAGTTTGGAGTGTGACTGTTTGAGGTTGTGGACAGGTGTCTTTTATACTGATAACAAGTTCAAACAGGTGCCATTAATACAGGTAACGAGTGGAGGACAGAGGAGCCTCTTAAAGAAGAAGTTACAGGTCTGTGAGAGCCAGAAATCTTGCTTGTTTGTAGGTGACCAAATACTTATTTTCAACCATAATTTGCAAATAAATTCATTAAAAATCCTACAATGTGATTTTCTGGATTTCTTTCTCAATTTGTCTGTCATAGTTGACGTGTACCTATGATGAAAATTACAGGTCTCTCTCATCTTTTTAAGTGGGAGAACTTGCACAATTGGTGGCTGACTAAATACTTTTTTTTCCCCACTGTATATAAAAATAGAAAAAATTAAGCATTACCAATGTTATTTATATACTGTAGATTGTAAAAAATCCTTCATGTAAGTCAAGGAATTCAGATTTGATCCATCTACCTTGTTGCCGGAGTCCTGTCATTGTGATAATTATGAAACCATCGGCAAGCTTCAGTACCCAACCCTATCGAGGAAAGCTTATTCAACAGAATAAAATGGTCTCCAGTATCAAAAGCTAAACAAGTTTACAAACATGGCTGCACAATTCTTTCTAAGGCATTTGCAATTTAATTTACAACAAGCATAGTAGCCGTAGTGGTGCGATGTTTAGGTCTGTATCCGGATTGATTAACATTAAGAATACCATTTACAGATAGAAAATAACGTAGCTGTTTGTGGACCAATTAATCTAGTATTTTCGCAAGACAGGGGAGCCTGGAAATGGGTTGATAATTATTGAGATCACTACTATCCCCACCCTTGTGGAGTGGTAGCACCAAAGCTGCTTTCCACACTTTTGGAATATTTCCTAATAATAAAGTTAAATAAAAAATGTGTGTTACTGAGCAAGCAATGAGAGGCGCTGCATACTTAAGCAAAGACGGGTCCAAATTGTCAGCCCCTAATGACTTCTTGGTGTCAATAGCTAATAAGGCAGCAAAACTACTTCTTCTGTGAGTTGCCAAAAAGAAAAACCGAGACTACCATTTCCCAAGTTACGTGAGGTTGACTGATCATCCAGCGAGGCAACTGGAGGCTGTATGTGGGAAGAACAGTCAACTGACTGGCCAAGACCAGTATGACGGCCTTGTCTTTCAAATAGGAAACCAGCGGAGATGAAATGCTGATTAAAAGCATTATAAATCTTAACTTTTTCAGTAATGATGCAGGAAACTGCTTAAGCAGGGAAGTAGAGGAATTACCCGGCTTCAGTGAATTAACGGTTTTCCAGAATTTAGCGTGATCACTAAGAGTCTGCCATAGCGCTAAGGAAGTAGTTTGATTTGGCCTGTAACCTAGCTCACTACAGTAAGACAGTTCGTTCATCAGACAGTCACTGCTCCACATAGATGACATGTTCTGCTCCTCCACCAGAAAGGAATATTAGAAAATATTTTTGCCATTGCCTGAACTTAGCCTCTGCCCAGGCTTTCAACAACATTATCTTTCGTCAAAATCCATACAGTTGCATTCGATTTCGTGCTACAGCCCAACTGTTGTTTTAGCGGATGTTTTAAAATGTATTTTTATTTATTATTTATTTAACTTTTGGGGGGAGTGGCCAATGGGGGCAATAGATTCATATATCACAATGTTTTATGGGTACATAATCACGATAATACAAAGGTTGTCGTCACCCAACCCTAGCGCCCAATAATTACTCTAAACCTGAGGACACAGTCAGCACAACTTAAAAACAACACACTTTGCATATAGCCTCAACCCTAAAGCCTTGAGGTACAGCAAAAGGCTTTGCAACAGCAGTAACAGTCAGACCTCTGGGAGTGGGGCGAAGCTGTGTCCCATTGATCGAGGGGTGGTGTAGCAGCACCACCAGTAATACCGTCACCGGCCCCAGCAGTAGAAGTGTTAGCATTATCAGCCTGCTCACAGCTCAGTGCTTTCTCCACCACCACCCTGCTCCTGTCTAAATCTACTGTCGAGGCGTTCGTCCTCAGCTCTGTCCTCAGGCACCACCAGCAGCACAGGAGCATCTCATCTCAAACGCTTTAACCATTCGACACTGGCCTCACAAAATCCATCTCCATAACTCGGCCCTAGTCCTACTCCCGGGCTTAGTTCGATCCAGCCCTAATCCAGTCCCAAAGCCCAGAACTCAACCTGAGTCCAGTTCTAGCCCAGTTGTAGCTCAGCTCAGTCCACTCCTTGCCCAGGCCTTGGTCCCAGAACTCAGTCCCAGTTCAGTTCAGATACGCAGAAGAAAGGAACAGTAAGCGAGGCCCGTCCCGAGCGCAACACAGTCACACACAGCTAGCGAGAAGCCTCCTTCTCCGTCAGTCAGTCACAGTTGAAGTTTTGCAGTGCCTCTCCTCGCTCTGTCCCCGGGCCCTGCTGTGTGACGGTGTCATCCCCAGCCCAGTCCCCTAGCATCCCCCTGCTCCTGCCCT